ATGGGTACATGTTTGTACCCTTTAAGCACACCCCTGTTCCCATTAAGCTCACATCATGTTTTATTAAAAAGTCTTGTTTATTTTAAAGAAATTTTTTAAAGAATAATTGTAAAAATATATTTTTTGAAGGTACAAAGTCAATCACAAAAAAAACAGAACACTAAAATCAAGCAACAAGACATTCAAGTCAATCAGTTATATATTCATAATGAAGTGTCATTTAAGCACATTGCAACATCTAGACTAGTCCATGTTCAGCGAAGTAACACAAATTCAAAAATCAAAGTCAGAGCCAGTCTGCAGATTTGAGTTGACAGAATCTATAGAAAATCGATTAACTTAACTTAAAGTGACAACCATCAGTTAATATTTAAAGTATGTTTATGAAGTATTTACATAGGCGTTCAAGGTGGAAGAGCTTAAAGAGAGCACACTGAGCTTAATTGGAATAAAATAAAATAAAATTGTAATATTTATTAAAATGACAGGATTTTGCTAAATAAATAGTCTAGGTCATGCATTAAGTTAATACATATTTTAATATGAATAACTATTATTAACAATATCTATGAAATTATACTTTTTCTTATTGATGTCACACTGAAGCTGTGATTTTCATAGTAGTGTACCCTTTAAGCTCACCTTAAAATAATATGAAATCTTTAAAAATTACAGCACTGTAAAACCACAGACCAGCAATAAACTGTCAATTTATAATATTATGGCTATAAAAGTACAAGCCAGTAATGCCTGAGAAGTAATATATTAGCGTAGCACACAATCTTATACAGCTAGTCAGCTAACTGTGTTCTGTAGCATCTGCGCTATGCTGCTAAAACTATCTTTTGGATCTAATGTAATTATTTCCCACATCCAAGTTCTAGGTTATAATATGCAAAAGTCTGAACATTAATCTCTTAATTTTACAATAAGTAGTGAAACTTACCTAAAATAAAGGCTTAAACATCTAAAAAAAACACATTTAAGGAACTACTCTTTTGGTGAAAGTTCAGACAGCTTTCAAAATGGCCGTCAGACAGTGTGAACACATGGAGACACATATCTCAGTGTGCAATGATCTGATTGACTTGAAATTACAGGAGGTATAAAGTAACAAACACATCAATTGGTTAAGACATCAAGTAGGATAATAAATTATTTTTTCTTTTTATAATCTGATCTCAAAAATGGAAGTGTTCTTAATGGGTACGTGAGCTTAATAGGTACGTTTACCCTATATATGGAATTGATTTTTCACAGGTGAACTTTAAATTATGTATTGCAATGTGTTAGGATTAAAGGAAATCTTGTTAACTTTCAGGCATATTGTCCTGGCAGAAAATTACCTGTACCTAAATTTAGCATACATTTTGATCTTGACGTTTTGATCTTGCGGTTACACTTTATTTTAAGGTACAATTCTCGCTATTAACAAAGCATTAACTATGACTTTTGCCTCAATAAACTCCTAATTTGCTGCTTATTAATAGTTAGTAAGGTAGTTGTTAAATTTAGGTATTGGGTAGGATTAGGGATGTAGAATATGGTCATGCTTTATAAGTACTAATAAACAGCCAATATGTTAATAATAGTGATGCTAATAAGCAACTAGTTAACAGTGAGAATTGGACCCAATAGTAAAGTGTTACAAATCTTGCTGATCTTGTTTACTCCTGCCATTCATTTCAGTGGTCAGCACTAAATACAGTTAAAAAAATGTCCTGTGGTCTGATCACTCAAACCACATTCAGAGATAGTCAGAAATGCATGTAATATTTTTATGTTTTTTTAGAGACCAGATAACCTGAGACAAGTGACATGAGTTAAATTCTGTCTGTATGCTATATCTCTCACTACAATAAAGAGGTGAAAGCTCAGACATAAAATTAAATGATGGAACGTGTGCATTATCCATTCACAAGGCTGTCATCAGGTTGTGAAACATGTCTTTAAAATGGGCAAACAAAATACAGCACATTGGCTAAATATTGGCTGATTAACCCTCACAATAACAATAGGGAATTAAATAAAACTTCAAACTAACAGTTCAAACTACATAAAACACAAGAATCTTCACACTCTGAAAAGTTTTATAACAACAGTTAAAGTTCATTCATAACAAGTACGATATCTATAACTTAGATATCTAAAGTATTAATAATCATTCTAATTCTATAGGAAAGTCCACACCACAACTATAACAATAATGCCACAGAGGAACAATATTGCTGCAATCACATTCAGATGATTTTTTTCCAGCTGTTGAACAATAAAAACTTTGACAGCCAATCAGAATCAGACTTTAACGAGCTCAAGCATGTAAAGGAGCTACTCTTTTGGTGAAAGTTCAGACAGCTTTCAAAATGACCGCCAGACAGTGTGAACACATGGAGACACATATCTCAGTGTGCAATGATCTGATTGACTTGAAATTACATGTCATTATGCGCTTATAATGAACAGAACATTCTTGTGCATTAGAGTAGATGCTAATATAGTTATAGTTACCACATAAATATTCTTATAGTTAGCGTTCTTGGTGTCAATGGTCCTTAAGGTGGGAAAATTACAAATTTCTTTTGAAATCTCCCAGCATGCCTCAGTCATAGAGCATGAGCACTGCCTACTGACACTGCTGTTGTTGTTTTGGATCAATTTTCAATCTTTCAATCAATCTTCTACAATTTTCACAGAGAACAAAATCGCCCATTACGCTTTGCACAGCCTTTCCGGGAGGATGCTCAAAACTTCTCCTTTGCAGATTGTTTTCATGAATTAGTGGCGTTCCCTAGCTTCCTGTACGGTTGTGAAATGAAGATCGTGATTTGTTTTGGGCAAATTTGTTAGTGGCATGGACAAGGACTGTAAACATCATTACTATGTCTGTTTTAAAGCTATACTACTATGACACGGCTCAGAGTTTTGAGCGGCTCAGTTCACAGTAAACACTTTCCAGGTGCTCGAAGTTTGGATCACTTATAAAGCACACCAACTACAGTGTATTTTTACATTTCAAACTTTTTTTGTGGACAGATAGTTATAGCATTTTACCAGCTGTCGTTGTCAACTATGCAGTAGCTTCCAGTTTTTCTTGCGGGTGTATTGTCAAGCCATGCTGCATGAAACTGAAGAAATAAAGACATAACTGTACAGAATTTTTGCACTTCAAAATAAAACTCATTCAATATAACAATTGGCATTCAACTCTTGTTTTGGGCTTGTGGCCATAACACTCATTTTCAAGTAGCTTTTTTTTTCAAGTTTTCTGTAGCTGTTATGACACCATATAAAAGCACAAATTATATCAGAGTCTGCGCTTATAGTGTTGTAAGTAACGTTGTGATTACAACAACTAAACATTGAGCTGATCACAACTACTATACAAAAATGTGCCGCATCCTATAGGAAGTCTACCAATCCAAACAGGACCCAAACCATCATTTGGGTCTCTAAAGTTTGAGGTAAAAAAAAAAAAAAATGTTAGAGCGCTTTATAAAAAGCATTAGCTTTCATCAGGTCTTTACCTATCAATATTCTTGCAAATATTTCCTGGGATCTTTTCCAGTCCATTAGTTTCACTCTTAGTAAGTTGGAGGGGGTTATATGGAATGGAGATTTTTTGGGCCGTAGAGGGTTTGATGTACTCTTGGCCAAAACTGCATCTATGAATTGCAGAAGACATCCGCCAAACCACAAACATCTTCCTTTAAGTGCCAACTAACTACTCAGTACATGATGGAGGACGTGAGACATGAATACTCAACAACACTGGGTTTTGTTTGATGACACTTATGTGGTGGTGCGTATACATGATGATACACGTTGATTTACTGACAGCTTCTGTTTTAAGTTTTTACTAGTATTTAATTATCACATATTTTTTGTAAAACATAATTTTTTTTGTTTAACCATCGATAAACACTTTTGAAAGTAATTGATCACCGATACAAAACCACTAACAGCACTACAGTAAAACTGACGGAAGCAAATAATAAATTTGCTGAGCAAAAAAATAACTTTCACTCAAAACAGACATCCTCCCCACGAAATACAGATCACTTCATAAGTAGACCAATATTATCAACAAATGATACCATACATTTTCGCTAATATATATATATCCGTATTGGAGCATCTCAGCGTAGAGCGATATGTCCTCTGCAGCATCAATTCCTCTGAACTTGTTTCTCTTGCTAGCAGCCAATAAATATGGTTTAGCCATGCTGACAATTTACATTTAATCTTGGGGTTTGACGAGCCCAGTGCATCCACAGTTGGGGGCTAGGCTTTCAAACGGCTTCCCACAGAGATCTTACGATAGCCAGGCTGGAGAGGGAAGCGGCGGACGGGGCAATTGGCACAACAGGCACCAGAAACCCGCTGATGACCAAAATGGAGGTTTTATGGCTAAAGAGCTCATTAATACTCTCTAAATGACAAACGCCTGTTCCAGTAGTTTGAGATATTAGAGAATAGCTCTTATTAGCAGATAAATGCTACTTACACCGTAGCGACAAAACCAGAACTCAGTGGTGGTGCACAGATACTACTAAACCCAATATAAACAACCCAAGAAAAGAAGAATGCACCCTACGGTTTACAATAAAAGGCCACAGCGGCAACGGGTTGGGGAATTTACCTTCTTCATCCGGCATCCTGTGGTTTCAGTCACTTTTTTCAATGAAGTTTTAAGGAATTCTCCCAAGTGGAAAGTTGCACATAAAAATAATGCCCAATAAGTTTGCGTTTTAGAATTCTTCCTAATTAAATCCTTGTTTTTTTCCCCACACGGTACAATAAAAACATGACAACAGTGTTGCGAAAAAGTATGCGAAATACTATATTTTTTTAAGTACCTTGTAAACGGTATTCTATGTAGTGGAACATATAAAAATGCAATCATGAAATAAAATACACAGTGTAAAATAGCCATCAATTGTAACATTATCCTAATTAGAAAAACAAAATAGTGACGCGACGGAAAGGAAGGGACCCCCTACCTGAGCATCGCGCTTCCTCCACTCCAGGGTTTGCGTTTGCTGCTGGACCATGGCGGCCCTCGCCTGCTTGTCCAAACTATCGATTTCCTGCTGGTGGTCCTGGACCAGGCTGTCCTTCTCAGCATTGTGTGTCTGGAGTAGATGCGTCCGCTCCTGTTCATGCTGCAGTTTCAGTTCCACAATCTGATTGGACAACAAGGAGTAAGACTTCATCAGCGGAACATCCCTGTCGTCATGACAACTTGTGCATGGCTCAGCAAAGAAAAAAGTTCACGTTTGCCTCACAACACAAGAAGCCTACGCAAGTTTTTGCGTCACTATGATCTCACATGTTGTTGTCCTCCCACTTTTGCGCTAATTACGACAAGCTAGCCTCTCTTTCAGCTCTCGTTAGAAAAAAGCGTACTGTCAAAGCCAGTGGCACAGCACTGGGCAAAAAAAAAAAAACCCCAAACAAAAACACCTAAATTAATAATAATAAAAGGTCTTGAGATTATGGCCATGATTGTAATTAAAGAAGAGGAAGCAAGAAATTAACACATTATCTGTTTGCAGATTTTTACCTGTAATCCTGTTTTATTCCAAAAGAATGCTCAAAAAAGAAAGAAAGAAAAACACTTCAGAAAAAAAAATTTAATTCATTAATTAAATTCATTTGAAATTTCTTGTCTGTCCATACAGTATAACGTCATGATGGATGTACTGCAACTTTAATAACCACTTACTGTTACTTCTGAAACCTTATCCGAAGTGTTGCGCTTTGACAAAAATGGAAAATTAAGAGCCTAAAAAAATCCCAATCCGCCCCGGCATCCCTGCTAACTTCTTTTTTCAGAGAAAAATGCGGTCAGCATTGAAAGCAAGGAGGAAAATATTGAAAGAACACAAAAGCTAGCAGCGGTATTATCTCACTGACTTGCACCTGCTGTGCGGTGAGCCGAGCCTGGCGATGAGAGGCAGCGCCAACGGTTCCCAAGGTCCGTTCCCACTCTCCTCTGGACGGGAGACGGTGACCTTGGCCGGTCCGGCCCCCATCTCCCAGCTAGCCTGCAGCGAGAGGCCTGGTCCCTACAGTTTTCAAGCTAATCCCCCCATATTGTGCGGCTCGGCACCCTACCTGGCCTGCCAGCTAGAGGCTGCTGTGGTGCTATTGAGTGTAGGTGATGAATGGGATTTCAGCTCGATTCCCCCAGCCAATCAGGCACAAGGCCACAAAAGACGCTTCAAACAGTCCCATGGCATTTCCAATTTCAGTGGATTTTGAAGAAGCTGAAGTAAGATTTAGTGAGAAGATTCCTCATCCTCCAGCTTTATCGATTTCTGTAGAGGAAGAGACGTGGATGCAAGCAGACATCTCTAATAGGGCAAAACCAAACAGCCAACAGAAAGAGCCTCAACTAATTGATATGGGACCGCCAAAGGACGCAACCCTCCGGTTTTAAAGGAATGGGACAGATTTCTTCATAACACGCCATGCATTAATATGCTAACCTCGGGTAAACGTGTTGATTCTGAGGTCTCTGTTGGGAGGTACACTACAATCCGACCATCCAGTTTGCAATATATACACATCATGACAGATGAATAGACCGTGATCAGTGATTACCTTAGTTTAAAGTCCCGTGTACATCTATCTTGCTGTGATGGGATAAACCCATCCCACAGCACTTGTCAGACATGCGACAAAGCAAGGCTTTGGTTTTGACAATTCTGAGTTAATTTTTTTCGACGCAGGGTGAAAATCCACGCCAAATATATGGCGATATGACAGTGGGAAAGTGAAGGGTGGGGGAGAGATTGAAAACACTGAAACGTCACAGAAAGGGCTGCTGGGTGCCGGGCTCTTAAAGCACCAGTGCTGAATGGCTGCTGTCACTGGGAAGATGTGATTAGCGCCCCCTCCTAGAGTGCCAGCGTTGAGGTCATGGGGCGGTGGGCGACTGAAGGAGGTTCCCCAAGGAAAGAGTGTGGTATCGGAGAGGAGGGAAGCTTGGCGGCACTCAGTAGGGGTTCTGTTTGAAGAAAGAAGAGTGGCGGAAAATATATTCTATTATTCAGAGTACAGAAACTCCAAAAAGGATCATTCTGTCTATTTGTTTGTGTGCGGCTTTTTTGCATAAGAAAACATGAAAATGAAAAAGAAAGAGAGATCATGAGATGGACAGTTTGGTTGATGTTAATTGATAGGATAGACTGCCATCTCCAAACGTAGCCTCCACAGTTGTGAGTGGGATGTTGTTAATGTCATATACTGCGTAACTTCCTACTAGTTGTGACCTCAGACATCAGCTCGGTGTCGGCACTCGAGCCGGCATGACGTCAAATGGCGAGGAGGTCAAAGAGAAACAACACTTCTATAGAAATGGACTCTTTTAAAGTCCCATTGATAGGAATCCTGGGGAATGTTTCTTTGTGTCCACATGAATGGCTAAAATGACCCTCAGACCACAGTACACTCATTAAACCAGCAATAAACATCTCAGCTCAGCAACTTGAGGGGTCAATCAACTAGATCTTTACGAACTTTAAAAACCTTTGCAAAGTTGCTCTCAGAAGAACAGATGCTAATAGATGCTTCCCAGTGATTCCTAAATGCTTGACAAATCAGTAAAATTTATTATTGTAATATTGTAATGTTTCTAATATTGTGTAGTCAGTAAGTGAGTACAGGGGCCAAAGTGAGTTTCAGGCCAAAGTTATGAAGCATAGTTTAAGGCAATACAATTATTTGCATTGTGACATTTAAATAATATATCTTTTTTTGAATTAAGACGACAAATTTCTTAAATTATGATAATGCACTCTAAGAAATGTCCATAAAAAATAGTGTCCAATGTGTTTGACTTTTCCACGTTTATGTTTCCATCAGGGTTAACCCATATTTTCAGTTTATGGGACAGTCATGTCTGAACAGTCTGAATAACAAAGATAGTTTTGAATAGGCCTGAATAGTTCCCTGGCCCATTTGGTTGTTTGGTGGTCACCCTCTAGTGGCACCATCAGCAAGTTTTTTCAGCTTTTTCCTATCTATTGCACACTTTTGCTCTAGAAAAAAATATTTTCCAATTGGAAATCTTATCCAATTTTTATGTAATTCAGCTCATATGGTCTTTAGACAAAGCCTCACAAAAATCTGCCTTCGTGTTTTCAGTTATTTAAATAGTAAACATAGCACTAATTTATTAATTTATATATTTACTGGTTTTGATGACCACTACGATTATTTACCCATAGTCAAAGGAACAAAAGTCAACACTCTGTTTGACATGAAATTAAAAACTGAACATATCTATTTTCTAAAAAGGCTACATGTTCCTGGTGTTACTGCGAATAATTAATCAATCTGACCATGTGGGTGGGGACAATAGGAGCAAGTTTCAATCACTTCCCTACTAACCACCTGTCTGCCGCTAGCTGTGAGCACCACAGGAAACTAGCATAGCAAATACTAGGCAAGGAGGTGCATTTTTGCCTGTTTCCCTCTCACAACCTTGTTCCCCATCCTCGAGCTAACCAAGCTGCATAGCCACTAGCTTGAATTTGTGCCCTTTGATGAAGGAGGAATATTGTAGAGTTATTTGAGGCTTCCAAAACATTTGAAGCAACAAAACAAAATGAGGTTTCATTGACTGATGAGGGTGTACTGGTTCATATAAACACAAATATTTTAATATTATTTTGTGCTAATTAATGAAAAGTGTGCAAAACATGCCTTGGATATTTTAAACTAGATCTTCTATTAAACTTTACTTAAATTTAACATTTTGAATCTACTTGTCAACAGTGGTTGTTTGTCTTCATCTTTTATCAAAATAAAAGTTCTCTGTTCTGATATTTCGTCACCCTACTTTTCTAGTTGATTATCTAGTTTTATGTGAATACATGTCACATTACAGAAGTAAAACTGATAGCATAGGGGTGTGTGATATGGCAAAAAATATATCACATTATATTCCAGGAAGGATCACAATCCATGATCTTATCACAATTATTTTTTAAGACTATTTTATCAGTTCATGTGCAGTAAAAACTAGTCAAATGTTCTCAAGCTTACTGAAGACAAAGCAAATAATAAGCAATACATCAAAAAACAAACAAAAAAACAACAGAACAAAGATACAAATGAAATAACCACTGCTCATCTAACTAGCATTCAAGATCGATCATAATACAAAATCGTCAGTTCACCCTCCCCTAATACTGCATAACTCACAGTTTTCTAAGTGTGTCCCCCATATACACACACAAAAAGTCTTATTTGGATCACGGGCTGAGAAGGTTTAAGAACTTCTGCTTTAATATACTGAAACAAAACTAAGCAACATCAATAACATGTCCTGAGGTTGCCCCAACAGTTTTGGGACATTGCTACCAAGTAACCAGTAAGTGAACTGTTTTTCTGCTACTCCACCCAATTTTGTCTTTAAAACCATTTGGCTGTAGCTACAACAACATTTTCTCAGCAAAGCTTTGCATGCTAACTTTCAACTTAGTATGTCTCTTTGGCAGCAAGCATTGTGTTTGCTAAAATGTATGCCATTCCTGGCCCCAACTATACATCCCAATTAAATACCTCTTCCATCGTCTTTCTATCTCTATTGTATAATTAAGCTATATATATACTGCTAGCAATGTGATAGGATTGTGAGATGATTTCAATATTTGCCATTTTTATCTTAAAAAAGAAATAAGAAAAGATAACTGACACATTCCCGTCAGCCAGTAAAAACCTTAAAAAACCAGCATCTTATCAATTAACAAGACTTTGATTAAATGATGAACACATTCCATTTTTAATCAGGAGGAAGTGGAGACTGAATGGAATATGATAAGGGACCTTAAAATGTGAAAATAAATCTATTTGATTCTGCGCCAACCAATCCAGTCATCTAGAGGAATCATCTAGATGATTTCATTTGAATATGAACTGTCTCACACAACGAAATAACGCTGAAGTCTGAGCAAATGCTTTGTTCGTCTACATTTCTACTAAAAGGAAAATTGTTAGTCACACTTAATGTAATGCAAATGGCTTTGAAGAAAAGTTTGACCTGCTGCTCGTATCTTCGCTGCAGCTCCTCCAACTGGTAACTGAACTCTTTAGACTGCTTCTCTCGTAGAGATTTAGAGCGAATCAGATCGGCCTCTACTTTCTCCATCTGAAAGCAGAAAAAATATTGTTCAAGAGAAGGGCACAACAAGTAACATTACCAGAGTAACATTAGCATTGGCTGAGAGTAACATTAACACATTGATAATAATGATTCTAATAAGCATAAAAATACACAGGGCACAAATAAAGTAAAAATAGCAAAATAGTTCATGTAAAATGGATTGATACTTTTTGGTATTATGTATATACTATTTTTGGTATTATTCATTTTATTATATTACTGCTGTGTGTGCTACCATGATAGTGTTTGTTTGTGACTCGGTGCACCCTCTATATATGAGTGTTGGTCATGTTTTATATTGTATTATGCCATATATTATTATGTGGTTATGGATACATATGTATGTATGTATGTACATATATATCAGAATAATGGATTCGGTCTCTTAGCTGGCTGAAGATACTCTACATTTAGCATGTGCAAGTCAAGGCCATGTCCGATTATCCAGAGGACGTTCCTTTCTATGATGCTGTTACAAACAGATGAATGCAAATGGACAGCAAAAAAGAGAAAGCGAAAGAGAGGGGGTGGCAGGAAAAGAGTGTGGAACACTTTGATGTGGGCTGAATCTTGGACAGATGATGATCGCTGGAGACACAGGGTGGAAAGAGAAAGGTGAATCAGAAAGAACATGAGCAGGATGTGGGCAGCAGCTCTGAGTCCAGCGAGAGCTTTAGCATCCCCTAACGCTCGCCCACAACTACATGACCATTAGTATGCGAGCGCACACACACTGCCCAGTGCAATGCTCCAGAAGAACGCTGCCCACACTGTGCCAACATGACTTAATGCAAGCCTGTTTAAAACTTCCTATGGGAACCTCATTACTGATCGCACATAAGCACACAGAATAACAGAAAATAATGCTGGGCTCCATCAAATGCTGTATGTGGGGTATTCCTACAAACCTTGGCTACATTTCAGCAAAACTCAAAAAACATATAATTCACTAAAGTTTCCAGCTGAAATGAACACTAGTGGGAATACAACACCAACACATTTCATTTGTTTTCATGCTAATTATGATTACAGATTATTGATTTATAAAGATTTAAATGCACAATGGTATGAACTGAAAATAATTTTACCATAGTGCATAAACTAATACATTATGATGGTTGCATCACATAACCAGCTGCATACTGCATGTATGGCTTTTCTGACACAGTAAACTTGCTTGATAGCGCACCTGGTACACAATGCACTTGGGTACGAGTCTCAAGAAAAAGGAGCTCAAAGACAAGCTAAAATGGCATTGTTGCTTCAGGAAATGTGCTTTATCTCATCTCATGTTTGCTTTTGTTAACACTATAGTTCAGGTTTAGTGTGGTGTTTAGTGTAAGTTGTATGTTATTTTCAAACACAACTGAGCATTAACCTTTTAGTGCCACTCACTGGATATTTCATTCCTGAACTGCCGCGAGACATACAACAAGCAACTTAATAAACATTGCTAGACTCACAATAATCTGTTTCAGATAAAGCTGAACTTGTTTTAAGTGCCACTCACTGGACGTTTCACTTTGAAAGTGTCAGGAAATGTGCAAGAACCAACGTAAAATCAAATGTCACCACAGGCACGTATTTCCAGAGACCCTGGGTTGATTCCAACATATATATCTCTGACTTCCACCATCAAGGCATTGTCTGATGCTCAGAAGATTAAACTTCTCTCAACAGAAGTCTGCTGTCAAACATACTGTGGAGGATAAACAATACTATGCACCTGGTTTAATGTACAGATGTATGAGAGGATCTCGACCAGACCAACACAGCAGCACTGACAGATCCATTGGCATGAGTTTGGGATGGGACTGTTTGACCGACCAATGGTAAACAGTCCATATTTTTGCAATTTTATTTGGTGACACTTTCTGTTTGAGCATTTAGCATGCATAGTGTGTATACTGAGACACTATTTTTCTTGTGTTCACTGGTCCAGTCCAAGGCTCTCCTCTAGCTAGCGTTCAGTGGAATGACATGAGACTAGTTTCTCTTTTGTTTTTCTGCATTAGTTCATAAAAGTACTGATGACAGGACTGTGACCCCCGGTTTCACAGACAAGGCTTAAGCCTATTCCCAGACTAAAATGTAATTCTGAGCTGTTTCAACTGAAAGAAACTTGCACTGACTGATCTTAAAATATATCAGTGCCTTTGTTTTGTCTCAAGACGCACACCAGTAATGTTTTTTCTAAGGCACATTTATAAATATGACTTAAATGTCCTAATTGAACTATGGCCTAATCCTGGCTTAGTCTAAGCCCTGTCTATGAAACCAGGCCTGAGTCTTTTTGAAGAAAAGCAGATGGATGCAGCCTCCCTTGCACATGTGCTAAGAATGGCTGTGGTGTGTTTTTAACTGTTACATGTCTCCATTAGCAAAGCAGTACCAGGATTGTGACAATAACTTTCACAAGAAATAAGCATTTAACAATTGTTATAGTATTAAATCTCTATATATAAAAAACATGACATGGTACATAAATAATTATCTTCTGAGTGAAAGCAGGGAATAATATAAAGCAGATTTGATGTTACCCAACAGGGCTGTGTTTTCCAAAAAAATCTTAAATCTAAACAAACTATAAAAACTCATTATAGCAAAGCATCAGTGGCCTTTACAATCTATGATTGGAAAACGCAGCCCATGATTTGATTGGTCATTGATTGTGATTATTATTCATTTTTATTTATTTATTTTAATATGGTTTCTTTATAAAACGTGCACTCATTAATCATTCACAACAAGACTAGCAATATTTAATAAGAAAGTAAACCAAATCAATTTTGATTGGGTCATTTAGTTTTGAATGACGATTTGAATTATGAATTTTGTTATCTGGAGGCTATATAAATCTAAATAAGAGGCTTTTAACAGCTAGGCAACAATAGCGTGAATGTTTGGTTGTGCACACATTGGAGACAGCTGTGGCAGTGAACCCGGGTGGCGCCGGAGCGGCCCGCTCCAGCATCTGTGCACAGGATGTGATGTGAGGCTGCAGTCATGTGCATTGTGTTGATGGGACAGACTGAACACCGCTGTTTGGGGTGGCTGGAATTGTTATGATGGAAATGGTGAATGTACAAACAGTCATACAGAATACATGTCAGGATGAGTAACTATTCCTGATGACTAACAATGAGATCTGTTTGCTCATCTAATACCAAGTCAGTGGCTGCTGTCTCGGAGAAACGGATTCAAACAGTGTAATAGAGTCTAAAATAGATCCTCCGTAATCCTTTTTTGCCCTTTTTGACACTTAAAGGTGGGGTAAGCGATTTCTGGTAGCCAATGTTGACATTTGAAATCACCAAAACAAACACGACCCTACCCCAAAAGGGTCTCGCCCCTATTTTGATAGCTCCGCCCCACACATAAGTACGCAACCCAGGCAACGATTAGTTCTGTGAAACTAAGCAAAACCAATGTTACACCGTGTCTACACTGGACGCGAGTGGTGCGGCGCGACAAAATACTATGGAACTCATTATAATCTGTGATGCTGTATACACCATATAGTATATACATATCTATAGTCTACACTGGATGCGGCACGACACAACAAATCCCCGACAGAAAACTGCTGCTGCATTCTATTCATGACGTATTGACACAAATTTCAAATGATTTTCAATGGTCGCTTTGTCACGTCCAGTGTACTAGACAGACTTTAGCTGTTGCGGCGCGAGACACGGTGTTATTCACCTATTGAGAAGAAACAAAGCAACCTCGGCGTCCGATCGCAGGCCGTCCGCTCCTTGAGTTCTCTCCAGCGCTGGAAAGCTGATCCGATATTTACACGGGTCCTACTTCTTGGCTTATTGTCTTAAGCCTTCTTTTGTTCCGCAGACATTTTCCTCTTTTGTTTTTTATTCGCCATCTCTATCCTTCTGTCGCTCGGCTCGCTAATGTCCGTCCTGTGCACTGAACGCTCTCTCCTCCACATCATGAGTAGACATGCCCCTTACTACTGATTGGCTACAAGTTTGTTTTGCTAGTCGGCCCGAATCAGTTTTCTAAAGCATTTTTTAAAAATCGCTCACCCCACCTTTAAGGTAAGAGAGTTGAGGAAATGAGATCAACACACCTTGTGAGTCGGATGAACCTACAATGCCCACATGAGCACCACAGCTCCATGTATTGGAGCACATGTGCTAACTATTAGGTCATGCTGGAAGCTTTACAATGACATGAATTGTCATCTGAGAGATGCTTGCTGCCCATATGGGGGAATGCAGTGACATCCTGTGAGACTGAATGAGGGAATTGGATTGGATATGATTTATGATGATTTACGCTTGCTGTCTGGACTCCCTGGAACAATCCACAGATCAAATACACCCTGAGATATCAGTGAAAGAATGTCTCAGACTTTCAGCCTAAAGTCTGCTGCCACATTGCAGTTCATTCTGGTCAAGAACGCACATTTAGGCAGAAAGAGACTATGACTGAATTGTGAGGCAACCAGTCACAGTTAGATTCCATAAGTGGACTCTAAGCTGGGGTAAATTTGATGGTTTTATATTTCATAAGAATGAGACGACCACTTAGAGAGTCTATTATGAATTTTTTTTACAGCATTGCTAATAAGCAGGCGCAATGATATTACGCAGCGCCTGAAAATAGTCCCAGCTAGGTAACTTCCAATAAGCCTATTTTCAGGCGCTGCGTAATATCATTGCGCCTGCTGCACCCATGGTATGACAGCAAAGTTTCTTGATTATTACACCGGAATGAGAGTATAGTTCCTAGCCATATCAGCCTAGAAAATCGCAACTTTTCATTTTCCGTCAGTCTTAGTAGACGATGTAACTACAGAAGAGTCAAGTTTTAAATAGGAAAAATATAGAAACTCTTTGGTCATTTTTGAGCGAGATGCTAATGGTCTAATCAGATTCAATGATCTATGCTAAGCTAAGCTAAAAGTGCTACCGCCAGACCCGGAGATCGGCTGAATGGATTCGAAAACGGTAAAACTCAACTGTTTAACTCTAGGGGAGTTGGAAAATGAGCCTATTTTCAAAAATAGTGGAGTGTTCCTTTAAGTTCTAGAGTCTAGACCAATTCTCACTATTAACTAACTGATAACTACAGCATTTGCCTCAATAAACTTCTAACGACTGCTTTTTAATATTTAGTAAGGTAGTTGTTAAGTTTAGGTATGGGGCAGATTAAGGGTTTTAAAATATGGCCATGCAGCATAAGGCATTAATATTTGCTTTATAAGTATTAATAAACAGCCAATATGCTAATAATATGCATGCTATTAAGCAATTAGTTAATAGCGGAAATTGGGAGAAGTCATACCTTTAATTAAACTTTGACTGTCCAATGGAAAAAAAAAGATTTTGCTACAGGAAAATTTAAATTATGGTAATTCCTACGTAAATTGGTCATGCTATTCGATATAACCCAGAAACATGAATTTGCTTAAAACTAAATGTCTCAATTACAACTCTATTATTAATCTACAACTTATTTACATAAACACTGAAAATTTTTCATTTAGCTGAAAAACAACCAAAAATCTAATTTATGTAATAATCAATCATTTTTTTTCCTACACTTAAAAACTGAGTTATATAAACACTTAAGTTGCATATTTTATATCAAATTGTTAATTATATCATTAGGTTTCTATTGCAATCGACAACCAATATGCAAACATTTTCAGTGGCTGTAATAAAAACCTGCTTTCATGAAAGATTTATTGAAATATACTGTACATTAAATAATGAAGATATCATTAACAACTTAAGCAAAAATATAATCAGGATTTCTGCAGGAATTTTAAAGGGGTCATATGATGCTTTTATTATCAATAAATTATTATATCAATTAAATAACAAATTAGGGGTGTGTGATATTGACAAAAAAATTATATCTCGATAATCTTCTGGGATTTTATCGATAATGATAATTAGACAATATTTTGCTATAGAGTGTGTTATTGTGCTGATATCTTATCAGGACTACCGTGGACAGCTGACTCCTGAATTTTTTGATATTCTTCATATTCTGTGTGGTCAGTTCACAGCAATTAACAGTTTAAAAGTAATAATAAAATAATATTAAAGTATTATTATTAAATATAAAAAAAATAATAAAGGTTTTATGGGCATTTTTACCTCTAAGCCATTTTTTCTAAAAGTGTGCACCATCTTTTGAGTCAAATGTTTGCATTTGGGCTGTTACCAAGCAAATTAAATCCGTATCAACAAAATTGATCTTTGCAATGCAGAGGAAACACAGAAGCTGCATTAGAAGTGTCAGTTAGATGCATTTACACACTGTTCAATGCAGCTCTGAGGGACATTAAATACTTTAACCTGTAGTTACAAATGCATAAATAATGTTTTGATATTTTAAACATAAAACATTGAAAACTGATGTTTGAAATTATAAAAAAAATGAAAAGGTACCTTAAATGTGAAATTAAAACCACCAGTAGGTGGCAGCAAGTCACAGTTAATAAGTGAGTCATTGCGATTGAACCGAATCATTTAAACGGGTGATTCATTCAGGAACAAAACACAAACTGTTGCTCAGAGACGCAAAACAGCACTGTGGCTGTGTTTGAAATGATTTTTGTTGGAGAAATAGTTTGTAATCATGCTGACTTTTGGAGAAAAAAACGGCACTTTTCGTGTGATAGTAACTAGTAACTATATGAAATTCATTTTCTGCCCCATATCTTGAATTATGTGATAATTCTAAATTCATTTTAATAGACTGATTCATGCAGTGAAAGAACGCACTATAAATGCGCGCGTGCGCACTAGTCTAACCTAGTAGAATTCATCACCTAATGTATGCGTGCACTCTGCAGGTGTGTTTTGTGTTTGCTTTTCGCGATATACTCATAATATCAAATAGCACATCGTTAAAACAACAATTACAATATTATTGCAGACCATACATATCGCACACCCCTATACTGTTTAGATTTTTATAATGCATTGTCTTCTCATCAATCCACCAGTTCATATTTAAAGCTCTGCGTGTTTGCAGGGTAAAAACATGGGTCGATTTTCGCATTGGTCTGAACTCTGAACAAAACAACAGTTTTATTGAACAACAGTTTTATTGACTTTGAACGTGCAGCGCTCATGTTTATTTAATGAAATCATAGCTTTTTGAAGTTTAATCGTCACATTCAGCCATATCGCAATTCTGGTCTTTCCGTCCCCAAATTTAAGACCTCTTGATATCATAATTAAGACTTTCTTGTACAATTTAAGACTTTTTAAGGCCTTAAATTTGATACAACTAAATTTAAGACTTTTTAAGAACCCGCGGAAACCCTGTATAATGAATATGTAATATTTCCATGTAATACTTAGTGAAATGCCCCTCTCAAGATTTATTTTTGCTAACTAATGAGCTATGGACACTGAAACGCAACAATAAAGAGTGAATATTTTCAGTTGCTGAAATTTTGGTGCATCACCACTAAATATCTTTCAAATTATATGATGCTTTATATTAAGTGTCTTTAACTACTATGTACTTATGCACTTATTGTGTACATGCATGTTTTTACATTGTACTTATATTTAAAAAAATACCTTCCTCTAACTACTTATGTAATTCATTTCTTTAGTTACATTTATAGTTACACTGGCAACCCTACCCCTAAACCTTAACCCTCCCTTAAACCTAACCAGACCACTAAACCTGTCATTTAATTTACCTATATCATACCTCAATAGCAGAAAAAGTGATTTGTGACACAACATGAACACAAAAAGTACATTGTATCAAACAATTCATTATTTTTAATGTAAGTACATAGTTAAAGACAATGAATATAAAGTAGGACCGAGACCATTAACTCCAGTGATTAGTTTTTCCTGCAGAAGTGCTCAATCTAGCAACCTGGAAACTTGTAAACATGACTTCGGAAGCTGCATAGTAGCCACAAACAGGTGATTTGGATTTCAGTCAGAATGTGTGTCAGAGGGTCAGTGAGCAGTCTGAGGCTGATGCTCTGACCGCTATACCGTGAGCTTGACAGAGCATAGCTTTCATAAACCTTGTGACACAGGGTAAACTGTAGGTGCCCTTGACTCACCTGTTGCTTCATGTCAGTGTAGGTCTTCTCTGAGCTGAGCTCCACCTGCTTCTTAAAGTTCTCCAGTGCACTCTCAGCCTGCTGGGCCTGAAGCCTCTGACTGTCCCGAAGACGAACCAGCTGCTCCTCTTTATCCCTACAACATAAAAAACAAACAAAAAAAAACACACAAATTGTCACCCTGTGTATATACATGTGCTTGCATTATTCTTAGGAGTCAGAACGCAGAGTGAAAGTTCTCCTCACTCAGCTTTGCTTCATGCAGTCTAACATAACTGAGACGGAAAACACGTCACGTAAAAGCAGCATGTTGTGCTTTATACTTATTTTTTATCAGCTGATTGGGGAAGCATTTTATGTTCACACAGAAAACTTCAGCGCACAAATGTGTGTCGACGCAAAACAAACAGCATCTCAGACTCATGTCTGACAACAACGCTGAGACACAACTGCCAAAAGAGCTGTCAGATGCAAGCCAGACTGCTACAAAGAGCTTGTCAACCTGCTTTCACTGTCTATATCCGTGCATGTGTGTGTATGTGTGTGTGTGTGTGTGGCACATCTCGCCCTCCCTCAAACGAGTGTAATTACTGTGGTAATTACTTTTCATTGAGAGCACAATTCACCAGGGCCTGTGAAACTACATATTAGTACTTCATCAAACAAGTTAACCAGCATATCCAAAAAGCCACCGAATGAACTAGAGTAAAGAGGAAATGTGAATTAAAATATGTGACATGCAGTGATATGAGACACAAGACATTTAATGCGGGGAACTGTTTTTCTTAAAACATATTTTGGTAATCATGATTTACAAAAACAACATATGTAAAACATAACATTTCAATAAAACTGTTTGTTTTTACTAGTGCTGTCAAACGATTAATCACGATTATCCAAAATATCCAAAATAAAAGTTTTTGTTTACATATTATATGTATGTGTACTGTAAACTCTCCCGTTCCTTTTGTTGGACTGTTTGGAGCATGTGTGGAGGTAGTGAAGAGGATCATGTGATTGATTTTGTAGACATAGTGTGTATTATCTTATAGAAGACAAACAGCAGAAGACTGTCTAATTAGTTTGAGTTACACTATGCATTGTAAATTAACTTTCTTAAATCATTTACTCACTTTCATGTTGTTCCAAAACTGTATTTCTTCCATGCAACGCAACAGGAGATGTTTTGCAAAATCTTTCATGCTTTGAATTAAACTCACCATAGACACCATAAAAGTATCATAAAAGTCCATACGACTTGTGTGCTATATTTAAATCTGAAGATCCGAATCCAAAGATAGCGTATTATATAACCGAATAAATCACTATTCAAATAAGACTTGATGGCTGCATAGGGAGTGATATAATGATAGAATTAAATAATATTTTGTTTAGTCTATGTTAAGATATCTTAAGCAATGTGAATGCAAAATATTTAATTATTGAATTTATATCAAACGGTATGTAAAATTATATATATATATATATATATATATACTGTATATATAAAACACTTTCTCTAAATGAACATCTTCATCAGCTCAAGAGAAGGACATCCTTCTTTAGTTATCGTCTCATTTAGTGTACACACAAAACAGGCATAACAATAAGAGGAAATTAAAAACAAAACAAACGCAAAGAAGAAGAAAAAAGTTGGGGACCTTTTTTTCTTTTTCTATGGTCTCTTTTCTGTGTAATTTCGGTCTCTCTCATGTTTGACATCAAAAGATCTAGAAATTGTTTCTCCCTGACTGC